GGGAGAGGGACAGCGCCCAAAAGTTCATGGAAAAATGGAACTGAAAGACAGTGGAATTTTTTTCCCGGAACTTTTTGAAGCCCCCTCATACTTTATTTTGCATTCAACAACATTTTGGGGTCTTTAAATTTGTTTTGTAAATTGAAATAAAAATACACACACAAAAGTGCACCAAACCAATGAAAAACTTTCCCCAATGACTCAATGGATTTTTCCATTAAAATAAAAAGAATGCATCTGTGCATATCTTGCTAGAATTTATTTTTTAATAGCCTCCTTGTAAAACGAAATGGAGAACATCATGGAAACAATGACTCCTTGCAGAAACGTCTTTATCATAAAAGACAGATTTTTATCTAATGCTGTCACATTTGTGGTCTCTAGTTAAGCAGAATAAGGGCGTTCCAAGGACCAATATTAAGGGGCTCAAAAGCATCCACAGCTGTATGTCATTTCAATTTTAAACTAAAAAGGGTTTCCAGGGCACTCAGAGATCAAAGTTTGATGCTTTCACCTAACAATAAAGCCTTTTCCTTAAAGGAAACTCTGCCTACATCATGGTCCCAAGCAGAAAAGAAGAGGCAAAAGCAACACCGTGAAAAATGGAATTTAAATGTCAAAAAACCAGATGAGTTTGCATGAAGCACTCGATGCGCCTCTGGTTTTCCATGATGCTGAGAAGCACCAGGGTAGAAATAACCTGAAACATTTAGGAAACACTCAAGGACCAACTCAAGAGCTCATTCAATGCCTGGTAACTGAAAGATCATTTCCACAGAAAAACAAAACCACCCAAACCACCCAAACCCCTCCCCGGCAGTTCCGGAAATTTAAAAAAATTCCACACCCCAACAAGTTTAAACATACAGATACAAATCTATCAAAACGTGATTTCCCAAAGAAGTCCAATTTCTAGTAGGAAAGTTACAGTGGAGAGAAAGCAAAGGGAGTCAGAGGTACCGGAAGGGCACCTGAATGTGGTTGCACGATATTATTACAGGCTTCGCACAGCTTTTTTGCGGTTATTCGAAAGGAAACTGAAGGAATTTTCCAGTTGTTTCAAACCCAAGGGCAGAGAAAGACTTTGAATGGTTAAGAACCAGACCGAATATTACGTCGCAAACCCAGGAGCAGAAGAGATTTGTTCAAAGTAGGAGCGTGATCGATTTCCACGCAGACGACCGAAACGAAGAACAATTTACAAAGACTACAAAAGACTACCGTGCGGGTCGCCCCAAATCATAAAGGGGTTTCCACGGAACGTATGGGACCCTCTCCGTTATTTATTCCGTAATACACACCACACAGATGCCAAGATCTCTCCGGAATCAAGCGCGACATCAACTCGCAAAACTCTCAAACACTTTCTTAGGTTCCTTTCAGTCCCAAGTCAGGGTCGTTGGACCATCCTTTCCCAATTCCTCTCGAATCCGGGAAATAACCTAGCTTTTTCTCTGCCCCCGCCCCTCATCCCCCAGGAGTTCGCCCTCGAATAGGGTTCGCTTTCAGCTTCGCCAGATACCCCAGTTGCACCTCTAACTCCCCCCACCCCGGAGTTTTTCCTTATTCCGTCAGGCTAACCCCTTTTGCCATCCTAACAATTCTTCCTCAAGTAGGACTCCCCTTCCTTCCCAAATATGTCTTAAGTGGATGCAAAGAGTAAAAAAAAATTCTTTTTTTCCCCTTCTTCTCAAAAAAGGTTGCGCCCCCTCCCTCGAAGTCTACGCTTACAGCCGACTCTCTCCCTTAGCAGCTCCAGAGCACTTTCTCACCACCTCTTCTCCCAGTGCCTTCAAAGAGCCGCCGAGCGGCGCTTCTGGGGTCCCTGACAATAAAGCGAGACCACCAAGAGTCCCCCTTAACAACGGGCAGGGGCGGCGGCCTGGCCACCGCCATCCTCCTTATCTTCTCCCGCCGGGCAGAGAATGGGGGGCCTCAGGGTTCCGTAGGCACTCACCAGCGGGGCCCGGAGGCGGACGGCAGGAGAGAAGCGCCAATGAGGGGAAAGAGAAAGAAGTCGGCCCGGTTCTCTGGCAGCGCCTGAGAGCGGGGCTCTGTCGCCGGAGGTTGTTTCCTTTCATTCGAGGAGACGGGCTCGCCGAGCGCCCTTACGTCGCCCCCCTTGCACGCACACGTCCCACACAGCGTTGATACGTCCCGATCGCGCCGCGGGCCCTGATTGGTAGTAGAGAGCGGGCAGTCGAGGCCGCAGCGGCAAGGCGCGTGTGCAGGTCCCGTCCCCTGTACGGCTCGGGGCGGTAAGCCCCGCCTCCGACTCGCGCGCGTACCTTCTATTCTCCGCTCCGCCGCTCCGCCAAGTGTTTGGGGGCAGGATCTGAGAAGGCAGAGAAAGCAATTCAAAGATATCGTTGTGGGTTGTGCGGAGGAGGGGCGGGGACCAGAACCGTTGGACCGGGGCCCTGGGCGACCCATTTTAAGCAGTGGTTCCAGTGACTAGGCCTAATCCCTTGCACTTGTTCACCAAGGCCTTTCCACATCCATTATCTCATTGTACTCTCGTGGCATCCCTTGGAGCTCCGAGGACCTCTCTGTTCTCATTTTACTGCTAGAAAAAGACTGAGAAGCTAGCAGTGGAATCAGAAAGCCTAGATTTAAGTCCCTGGGTGAATCATTTTAAACTCTGTCACTTATTTTATATTTTCCTATTTAAAATGGGGTTAAAATTAGTACCTCACAGAATAATTGTGAGGAAGAAATGAGATAATACAAATAAGGCGTGTACTGGACCCCCTGACATGTAACAGGCCCTCTATAAATGCTGGATTATCCAGAAAACACAGGCTGTTATCCTTTATAACCCACATAAGTAAACCTGGCCCCTGAGTGATTACTCTTTGGGGACATGGAGCCAGACTGCGTGGGTTTAAATCCCAGCTCTACCCATCTCTAGCACTGACCT